GCTATCCAGACATTGCAGATAAATGACGTAAGTACGTATGTACCGTACATACATTTTAATGCTAAGATCGTCAGGATTGATTGTCATTATGAATATGAATAGTATGAATGAATAAAACGATAAAAATCTACAAATATAATAATAATAATAGTAATAATAGTAATCCTTGGGAATATTAAAATTTCTTAAATATCTCTGACAATTAAAATGTTTACAATTAGATGTTTACAATTAGATGTTTACAATTAAAATGGTTACAATTAGATGTTTACAATTAAAAATGTTTACAATTGAATGTTTTAAAGACATGTTTACGATTAATGTTGACTATTCAATGTTGGCAAATAATGTTGACAACAATTAGCATTGATGATTAGTAAATGCTGACAATTAGAAATGCTTGATGATTATTGCTGACAATTAAGACAATTGGTGTTGACGTATTTTTTACGTCATTAAATTGATATCAGATAAGAACTTTAGATAAGAACTTAGTCATAAAATTGATAAAAAACTTGTATCAAGAATTTGTTTCATTAAACGTTTCATTGTCAAATCATAACAAAGCGAAAGTTAATCCGTTTTGTCCATTATAAGGTGAAATGTAAATCTATTGTAATGTTTGTTTGATCACATACCAATTCTGTTCTCAAGAATTTTTTTTTCTTTTGATTAGAAAATGATAGGTACGTACTGTACATACATACAATATATTTCTATTTTACCGAATTTTTTTACTAATTCGAGAATTTGTTTTATGTAAGCTGTATTGGATGTTTGCTTTCGAGAGATACCATATTTAGAACCATCGGTCATATGAGTCATAAAGTATGTACGACGCTAAATTGGGAACACAAGGCGTAGTAAATTTGACGCGACCTAGAAAGGATATAGTAATGTGGTTGAATAGTAATACAAAAAAAAGAAAAAAATTATATTATGGCAAGTGACCTTCCTTTATAATATTAATTAATAACAGGCATAATTTGGAATTTTAAGCGATTCTTTAAACTTATATTATCTCGAATATTATTCGGATATTATTCGTACATTATTCATATATTATTCGTTAGTGGTAAATGAGTTGTAACTGGATTCATTTGTTGTTGAGATCCATATTCTGTTGGGGGATCCACCAATGTGGGAATCTCCGGACTTGGAAGAACTGAATATGAAGAATTTGAGGGTACTGTGTCATTTCGGATGGGTTCATTTCTTGTTTCTTGTGATGGCACATTAATGGGTGATTGTTGTAAGCCTTCATTAAAATCTGACTTTGCAGGGCTTTTATTTCCACTTCTTGTTGATTTTCTTCTGTGAGGACCGGTAGTACCAGTTGAGACTGGATAATTCCTATTGTCAGCGGAATCCCTTGGAGACGTTTGCTTACGTTGTTGTCTACGTTTATCAACTTTGGATTTATTCTTGTTAGGACGGTAGACATAGTTAGGATATGCTTGCATATGCTCAAGTTTTTTTCGATCCGCATATCTTTCCCATTCTCGACGAGTTTCTTCAGGTTCGCTTCTCCACATATCTGAAATTCTTCTAGAAACTTCAGCATTTGAGAGATGTCTATTAGCGGCAATAATTGCAGGTTGTTTTTCCCTACGATATAAAATAAATGCATTGGGAGGCCTTGGGGTTCTTTTTTGAGGATGACCAGTTCTTTGAACAGACTCATCACCATTTGATGAACCACCAGAACCTTGGTGTATAAATTCATCACCAGCAGCAGCTCCAGCGGCCAGAGCGCGCGTGGTAGTAGAAAAGTCAGAAGTACAGTCTTGAAAGTCAAAATCATTGATCATTGAACCAGCGTTACGAGAGGATTCATAGGTGAGATTGTTATTTAACGCGGAAGAGTCAACTCCCCGCGTTGACATAGTGTTAATGATAATGTCATTGCTCCTTGATGTTTGAGATCTTGTAGACACGGTTGGAGCATCAAACATCAAAAGACCACAATGTTTTCTCCTCGCTTCAGCGTCCATTATAATTTTTTTTTTTT